GAAGGCATGACCAGCCTCGGTTGTTTTTTGACGATTCCCCTGAGAACCCACAATACTCTGTTGCTTCACCCCAGTATGTTGTCCAGCCACCAAGACACCCCAGAAGGCGAGCGCTAGCACCGCAAAACCTCTACCAGCCTCCAAAAAATTTTCATGTGGCCTATAACCCACATCCAAGCCAGGGGTATAGAGGTAAACAAAGGTTGAAAGATAATTTTACACCGATAGGAGAGTCCTATACAAGCTTGTTCGAGAAATTGAAGTATTATGACCTGATTGCACCTATTCCTCCGAATCATATGGACCAGCGTGCAAGAAGCTGTGACCCTTCTAAAAGGTGTGAATACCATTCCAATGCCCAGGGGCACAATGTCAAAAGTTGTCAGGATTTGAAAAGAGAAATAAAAATATCGATTCAAGAAGGGATAATTTTGATCCAGGATAGTGACACCCATAACGTCGTGCAAAATCCTTTACCTGTACATGATGATGCACACTTTGTGGGGAGGATGCGTGGTGACATGGAGTATGAGAATCATCTTGGAAACTTGCTAACTGAAGTTAATAATAATGAAATTGGTGAAGGTCCCAGTAATTTGATGTGCAACCCAGTGACTAAGATGTCGAGCTTGATAATTAGAAAGACATTTCTTTCTTGGCTAGCTAGGAAGGAGTTTTGGTGGTTTATTTTGTTGTCATTCTGTTGTCCGAGTTATTTCAGGGTTGTAATCCGGACATTGTCTTGTTGGCTCAAACCCTTCTGCTTCTTATTTTCCTAGTTTGTTTAGTGGTAGTAACTCGTCAGGTGTTATCTAGGATTGTTCCAGGGTTGTAACCCATGTCTATTTTGCTTGTTTTGTTCAAACCCTTTCCACCATCTATCTAATGCAATCTCATGTTTTCTATTAATTCTAGTCAGTTTTTGTTTAGGTTACTTTTCCTTTTATAGTTCTTTTCATCCTAATTCCAGTGACATGACATGCACACATAATTCTCAGTCTGGTCTTGAAAGTTAGTTTAATCATGAAGCAATGACACAGTTTTGAACATGATAAAATGAGGCATTTGAGGAGACAAGTAAAGATTCATGCATTCTGAGATAACCTGAAGCTTGAATTGAGTGAAACTGAGGCAGTTAGTTTGGGAAATCAAGAGGTTGATAAGATCATACAATAAGGACATGTCTCTCAAGCAGTTTGAGGAAAATCAGTCCGTGCATTCTTCCACATCAATATAAGGTTGAGTCAAGTCTGATTCGAACTGGCAAGGATCATTCATTAGGACAAATATATTGCCTGTTGGCACTTTGTGTCTGTGTGGATGCCATCAGTAGATACTGTATATGATTTCTTTGCTTATCTTCAATTGCATGTTTGTACCTGACATTTTTAAAAGTTTGGTATGACGAAGGCATTCTATTCTTCTACCCAAACACTTTTATCTTTTGCTATCCCTTTTGAGCCTTAATTTGTTTTGTTTCATACCTCTCTTTTGGAATCAGAAGCAGAGTTAGGAACTAGAACTAGAAAAGAAAAAAAAAGAAAGAAAAAAAAGAAGAGAAAAGAAGAAAAAAGAAAAGGAAAAAAAGAAGAGAAAAAAGAAAATAAAAAGAAAAAAAAGACAAGAAAGAAAAGGAAAAGAAATAGAAAAAGAACTAACTTTGTGTTTGAACTACGTTCGACCTGATTCTTGTCACTACAAGATACGTAGGCAGTCTTACGGTTCGGTCGCACCAAATAGAATATTTCATAATCTCCCGAAGTCAAGAGTGAGACAGATTTTCTTAGAAATCTCATCAAAAAATTAAAAAATCAAAAAACAAAATTTCCCCAAACTCCAAGAAACTGGGGCAGAAGTTTTAATTTTTGCCAAAAGACCTGATTTCAAAAGTTGTAATTTTGAACCCTTTCATCATAAATTATTTTGAGCTTTCATGTTACCCTTTCTTTCTAACCATGTCCAAAATCCTACATTATAGTCCAAAGAAAGACATTCTGACCAATCTTTGAGGATGTCAAATCAAGTGTGTGGCAAAAGTATGATCTTCCTGCATCATGGGTAATACCTTTGTTCTCATCACAAAGAGAGAAAATGATAAAATGAGAGAGCCTTATCGGTGAAAATCCTCATGGGCACCGTAAGGCGACGGTGAGTTGAGAAAAGAGCAAAATGAGAGAGGTTTGATGGTGAAAACCCTTCAGGTCACCACAAGTCAACTGAGGATTGTGGATCAAATAGGACAATTGAAGAGCTGAAGCCCAGTTTCACACTGAAGAGATACAACAAGAGTTAAATATTAGACTTGCTTAAGAGATTAGGCCACTTAATCCAAATGTGCATGTCATGGTCATTAGAGTTGGTATTCACATCTGATAAGTTTCTACTTTGTAATTTTCTTGCTAGGTATCATCTCTTTCCATTGTCCCTTATTTTGTTCCTCTTGTTTTGTTTGAGTCCCTTCTTGAGTTTGTTTGGTCAGAACAAGTGAGAAATGACTTCAAAATTTGCTACCAGCTTTCCAATTGCATAAAACGAATTTGGCTAGCACATCAAAGTGGCATAAGTCAGGGAAAAGTGGTATGTGCACTGAGTTGGTAACAATCAACATGCTTTGGGATTCATATGATATGCAAGGGTTCGATAAATGTCAATTCATGAGCAAAATGCAACAGATAGAGGATATTGAGATCGAATGGAGCGGATGTGTTTTTTGTGATAAGGGTTGAAAGAAAATGGGTAGTCGATAACAGGAAAGGTCTTCCAAGTTGAAATCAAAGTTATTTTTTCAAGTATAGAAGCACCCGCCTTCAAGGTTAAAGCAACAAGCTAACCACCACATTTAAACTCACAAGTTTTTTTTGTTTGAAATAGGAACAAAGCAGTGCAAGCAAGTGGGTTCAAAAACAAACAAAAAAAAGAGAAAAGAAAAGAAAGAAAAAGAAAAAAAAAAGAGAAGAATTGATAAAGGGAAGTTTCTCAAATCTTTTCCCTTACCTGTCTTGCTAGTGTGCATAAAATGTTGCTATTGCTCTTCAAATTTTTCCTCCTAGGATAAAAGGTCCTATCTGATGGATTTTCCTCCCAATAGAAATCTTAGTTTGATGAATTTTTCTCCTAAGATAGAAAACCTAGTATGATGAATCTTTCTCCTAGGATAGAAATCTTAGTCTGATGAATCTTTCTCCTATGATAACAAAAAAAAGGGACCTAGCCTGATGAATTTTCTTCTAGGATCAAAATCTTAGTCTGATGAATCTTTATCCTAAGATAAGAGACCTAGTCTGATGAATTTTCTCCTAGGATCGAAATCTTAGTCCGATGAATTTTTCTCCTAAGATAGAAGACTTGGTCTGATGAATTTTCTCGTAGGATAGATATTTAGTTTTCTTAAGTTATTAATCTTTAGTTTTCTTGAAATCAGGGGTCCCGCCTGGAGAATGGGGTCAGTTTTTACTTTAGTCAAGCTTAGTTTATAGTTTTCCGCAAGCTCAATCTTAAATCTAGGAGACGCACTTTCTAGTTTGGGTCATTCAGGTTCTATTCTTAGCAAACACATTTGCTAGTCAAATATTCTTGGTTTGATTCACAGGAGATGCACATCCCAGTCAAGTCTTTAGTTTTACTCTCATCATTGCATCAATAGCATAAGTGATTTACAGTTTTAATAACAACTCACAAATCTTCCTAGTGCAAACTGGGGCAGAAAATTTTGTTTGTTTTGTTGTTTTGATTGCAGGCACTCACCTGAAGAATGAGGGAATTTGTTTGGGAATTATTTCAAGTTTTGGCAATCAAGCGCCCACCTGGAAAATAAGGGAATACAATTCAAGTTTTAGCAATCAGGCGCCCACCTGGAGAACAAGGGAATACAGTTCAAGTTTTAGCAATCAGGCACCCACTTGGAGAACGAGGGAAGTTATTTCAGAATCCAATTCTAGTTAGAAGTAGCAGAAGCTTACGGCAAGAATGCGAGTCAATAGTCCGAGATGATCAACAAAAATAATCTCAATATAGAATTGAAAAAGTAAAAAAAAGAAAATAAAGAAAAGAAAAGGGAAGTGAATCCAAAATGCAGAAGCTGAGACAAGAGGTGGATTGCTCAAGACATGACTGAAGTCACAAGCATGGTGTGGTGTCCGGTTTTGATTCGAAAAGCTGAAGAAGAATGAACTAGCACCTGCAACTAGCAAGCGTCAAGGTTCAAATCTAAAGTCTGCATGAAGAACCATTCTAGACTCAAGATCAAGCTTCAGAAGACTTATAGATAGGAATCATGTAACTCATAGTTGACATGCTTAGTTAGTCTTTTTCAGTTTTTTATTTTAATGTAATAAGAGGACTGCGGACCGGCACCTCGACCGGCTCTCCACCTCAGTATACTCCATCACATCATTCACTTCTGAACTACATGTGGCCTGATTCCTTTATAGCCAAGGATATGTAGGCAGCTCAGATACCAGGGCTCGGTCACATTCTCTTCTTTTTTCTTAGTATTTGGTCTCTCTAAATAAGGGTCGGGCCAAAAAACCTATCTTGTCGTTCTTTCTCTGAAAACTCTTCGTGTTTCCAGTCAAAGAGAGGCAGTTGTAGACATGTAAATTTTGACCCTTCCTGAGTTTTTACTCACTTTAGCTTTTAGATATTTAGTTTAGGCCTAATATCGCTATTTTACCTAGTTTTAACTATTTTACCTAGTTTTAACTATTTTACTTTATTTTAAGAACAAAAATTAAAAATTACAAAAATAGTTCCATATTTCTCTACTTAATTCATGTATTAGATATTTTTAGAAGGATATGTTACTTTGAACTTATTTTATTTAAATATAATCTTTGAAAATACCAAAAATAGTTTCAACTTTATTTTTAGTTCTATTTTAAATATAATAGTTTATTATAATAATTTCAACTTTAATTTTTCGTTTTACTTGTATCTTCTTATAAGTATTTTTAGAAGTAGATTTTGTAGAATTCGCAAGAGGCCCAAATTGAATGTTGCAAGAGGCTCAAATTAGACAACCCACACCCAAAACCCATAAAACCCCTAAGTCTTCATCTTCCCCAAGAAACCTAGAGACTAAAAAAACAACCAAAAAACAGGAATAATGGTTGACGACCAAACTCGACCGCCCAGCAGCATCCTCTTCACCAACGCCTCCAGCCGCCGGCTACCACCTCAAAAACCACCGGAAATCAGCAACCTAACACCCATGTAACCTAAGCAGCGAGACCACCACCCTAAGTAGACCAGCGACAAGAACAACCTCCCCCATCGTTGCTTCTTCTTCTCACCTTCAAATTCGCCGGAATCCGCCATCCTTCAACACACCCCAATCTAATTCCTCATCTCTTCTTAAAAAAACAAAAAAAAAAGAACCCAAAATAGAGAGACGAGAAAGAAAAGAAAGAAAAACAGAGGGTCAAAACAAACGTTATTCTTTACTTTCAAACTCAGATTTTAGTTTTCTTGAAATTCAAAAGCTAGGAATTTTGTTTCTTCATTTTATTTTCTTTTTGATTTCAGGTTTGGTTTAGAAAATTATGGTATTTGCTTGAGATTTGGAAGTTTGCTATTTTGGTTGTCGTTTCGAGTAAGGCTGATAGTTGATGTTGGAGTTCGCAGTTTTCGGACCAATTTTGTTGTTGCTTAATCAGTCGAATTTTACGCTCAAGTTTTATATCAGTTGATCTTCAAATCTGCACATTGAGGTCCACCCTTCATCCCTGTTTCTTTTATATGAATTGACCTTCACTTCACTGAATATTTTGTGATTGGATATTTGAATAATTCTATTTGTTTTCATTAATTATGTGCTTCTGTCAGTAGTATATGGACTTCTCACCCACTCATGAATTGTTAGGACATGATTTTTGGGAATTAACTTTTAAGGAAAATGAGCATGAATTTGAATTCGTCTGTTACTTAATTTCTTTTATTTTGTTTCTCTCTTCACATCATCTGCTAGTAGCATGTTTAGGTCCGCTAGCAATTGGGTAAGCAAACCTTAGGATTTTGTTAGTTTTGAGGCGAGAGGTCGTTCCCTTAGTTAAATTTATCCAGGGAATGCCCCAAAGGATTTGTATATATTTTTATTCTGGGTATGCCCCGAAGTATTTGTATTTGGAGGCCGAAAGTAGAACTCATAGTATTTTATTTTTATTTTATTTTTTATTAGGCGGGGACGACCTCGAGCCTCGTGTGTGTTTATTTTGCTTTTACATGTTTATTTTTACCTCAATTTGAATATTCTAAAAACCAACTAGATCGAGTACGCAACTGTGACCTTTCCGGGACTCGGGGAATGCCTAACACCTTCTTCCTGAGTCAAATGAACCCCCTTATCCTGAATCTCTGGTGCAGACTTAGTTTTGGAGTCTAGAGTGTTTTAAAAGGAAAAATCATTTCTAAAAACGGTGACCTGACACACCGAAATCAAATGTCAGGTGGCGACTCTGAAAAGTATTTTTGAACACAAATTTTTGTCACTTTCTAATTGGAAATCCCTTTTGAGCTTTACAAATCTTTTTATTAATTTTAAAGGGGTTAGTGAGGTTAAAAAAGGGGTGTGACATATAAAATATAATTTTTTTAAATGGTGTGAGCACGTGATTTTTGTTTACGCAACAATCACTCCAAAAGAAATAAAAATAATGGCAAATGGTCTTGCTGTACAAGTTTTGGATTTTACGTGGCATTCTTGTTAGTTATTTGTGATCTTGTTCGTTTTTTTTTTTACAAAATACAAAAAAAATGTGTGTCGTGTATAGTTGGACCATAATCCGGTTATTAAAAGGAAAATCACAAAATATGCATCTTTTGTCCTATTTGTTGCCTTGACGTGATTTTACCTACTTTAGATATTTTAATATGTGTGTAATAATTACATTAAGTGTTAATTAATGGTGTTTAATTTTTATTTAACTAGGTTTTGTGTTTAAAAATTAAAAATAAAAGAAAAAGGGTGCAAATGGGTTTAAACTCGGATTGGGCCCATTTTTCTTTTAAAACCTGAGGCCCAAAAGCAGCCAGTCCGAATAGCCCATCTCCAGGCCACCAAAACGACGTAGTTTGACACCAAAACTACGTCGTTTCAATGCCAATCCATCTTGACCATCAAACCAAATTGATCCAACGACCAATATCACATACACCTACCCGTTTGTTTGGACCCGACCCATTCCACCCGGACCGACCCAACCCCCTTTAAGTTGAAACGACACCGTTCTTCACCAGCTGAAAGATCCTGGCCCTTCATCTCACNGCCCCCTTTCCCCTCACCATTAATCCCGGCGGCATGGACGCCGGTGACCCCCACCTTAACACCATAGGACCGCCTCACCACCCTGAACCTAGATCTGTGTTCCTTTTGCTTCGAATCAGTCCCTAGGCTCTCGAATCTTCATTTGAAGATTCGAGCAGAACTCCGATCTACACCGATCTACCCCAGTTTCACACCAGACAGTCCCCGGACCTCCCTCGTGACCAAACCATGCTTGGTTTGGTCTGAATCTAACCAGGGAAACCTAGATCCCAAATCTACCCTTAGGAACCCTAGAAGTCCTGATGCCTGGTCTGTGTCCGTTTGAACTAAATGATTAGGGTCTAATGGACCTTAATCGAAGTGTTCTCAGTAGAGAACACTTCGATTAAAGTCCATTCAACCCCAAGAAAGATCGATTTCAAATCCGAGCTGGGGTTTTCTGATTTTTCAAGGCTTTAAGGTAATTTTTGTTTTCTTTATCAATTTATTTTGTCTGTTATAATTGAATGTCTGTTCATATGTCCAAATGTTTTGTTTAATTTATGTTATTGAATTTTTTGACGACTGTTGTTGTCCACCTTGCCCGGACCTCTATATTTGGCCAAGTTCTTTCCATTTACTGATCATGTGTATGTGTGTAAGCTGTACAATCAATTGAACTTAAATTTGATTGATTAATTAATTCCCCAGTACAACTTTTGATTAGTCAGTGCAATTTGAATCGCATATTGATACTGTTAGATTTCTGATCATTGGCTATTGTTTGTATATGTTATAACTAGTATAGTCGATTCGATACGTGTCGTCGATTGGTTTCAGCTGTTTGAACGATAACAATTTGATCTGTTTCTTGCTGAACTTTGTTTGAATCAAATTGAGAATCGAGTATAGCTACTTATAGTTGTTAATTTGAATCAGAAATTTAAGGATTTTCGTTTGTTAGCTGCAGTCTGAATTGGTGGCATGTGCACTTGTGCATAACATGTGCATAAAGGCCCTTTTTGAGATGGAAAATAACTTGACAGCATGTGCTGTCAGGGCATATTCAGGCTGCCCACACCCTGAGTTGTTTAAAAAATAATAAATCATATCTAAGTAAAAGAAAGTCAGGGAATATCATGGGAGGGTTCTACTTTTAGAAGGTGAGTGGAAAAACAGCAGAAAAGAGGAGGGTTCTGATGTGTTTAACAGGCTGTGAATAGCATGATGTTAGGCTATAAAAAGAGGCAGAACTTCCATTAGTTAGGGACTGGATTTTTAGACAAACAGAGATACAGAGAGAGATACCACAAAGACAGGCATATACAGACATACATTGAGTGAGAAAAACACAGATAGAGAGAGAGCAAGAAATAGAAAAATACAGACAACAATCAGAAACTGTTTCTTCCTATTGTTGTTTGGATTTCACTTGTTTTCAACCTGTTCAATCAATTCCGATTCTTCCAAGTCTTAACTAAGTTTACTGGTTGGGTTGCATTGGTTTATTTCCTGGATTTGGTCTGCCTGGAGTTCTGTTTCTACTACACTGTTTGCTGCTGTTATTTTTGCTACTTTTTCCCTCGGCTATAGTTGCATCTTGCACTGGAATTTGTTCTGCTGCTACCTGTTGTTACTGCTGCTGTTTGGTGTATGCTACTTTGCTCTACTGACTTCCCTGCTTCTTCAATTGTAAGCACTTCCCAGGTACACACTCGAATCTCTACTGATGTAACACTAAAGGCATGAAATGAAAGATGCAAAGGAGCCTGGTCATTTGCTGCACTTACAACTTTTTTAAATGTGTTTAGGCTTGTGTAACTTTCAGTTTATAGCTCATTAAAAGATACATTTGTGCAATATGTACTTAATAGAAGTTTAGTCTATTTAACACTATGTGGTTATAGTTGTTAAGTTGTCTGTATGACGAGGAGTGCGTGTGTGTTTAGTATATCGGCAGTTAAATCTCAACTTCTATTCTTGTTCCCTAACATGTAAGGCAAGATGCTTTTTAATTCGACAAAAAGACTCATCATAATTCTGAATCGTTTAAACTAACTCTATCAAATTGGGTCGCGTTAGGCAGTTTATAGGATCACGTCTGAATCCCATTGGTAGTAGCTTATAGTAGTCAATGCTGTTAATCTGTTTAAAAGGTCAGTTTGAATTAAAATGAAACAGACGCCTAGGGTGAGTTTAGCATGATAATTGTCTTGTATGCAATTTCTTTTATCAAACTGAAAGCATGTCCAATAAAGCACAAAATTTTTCCACCTCGCAGAGAATTAATCCAATAACTAATAAGAGGCCAAATTGGCCAAACAGGCAATTTAATTAAGCACGTATTTTCTTTCTTCTTTTTTAGAGACAAACATAATAGAAAATATAGTCACTGTAGGTTTATCCTTTTAAATAAAACGAGACGAGCCTCGACAAACAAAAATGCATAAGCTGCGGGGCCCTCTAAATGTATATATTAAAATACTTAGAATACGGGACAGGCCGTTTAGCGAATTTTACGACCTTTCAAAAATAACAATACGCTAGTTGCTTTAGGCGCACCTTTAATAATTTAACCTTCTTAAACACGGGTGCACATTGATGTGACCTAAATCCAATTCTCAACGGAGTCAAAATGTGTCGACGACCACAAGTGCATTGATTGTGACGTGTATCGAGATGCATTTTCACGACGTTGCAATTCTATGAAAATAAATGATAATAATAAAATCGGTTTAAACTTAATAAAAGCACGTAGGTCATAACATGTATTTAAATCAGATATTTAGCCATTATAACAATTTAAGCGACCGTGCTAGAACCACGGGATTCGAGGGTGCCTAACACCTTCCCTCGGGTCAACAGAATTCCTTACTTAGAATTTCTGGTTCGCAGACTTCATTTGGAAAAGTCGAAAATCTCCTCGATCTGGGATTCAAGACAAACCGGTGACTTGGGACACCAAAAGCCAAACCTTTCCCAAGTGGCGACTCTGAATTAAATAAATAATCTCATTTCGAATATTGTCACTTAAATTGGAAAAACTCCCTCGCGCATTTAACCCTCCGGGGTGGGCGCGCAAAAAGGAGGTGTGACAAATGGTATTTATTTAAAATAAATAAGGTGTTAACATTTGCTATAGGAGGTAAAAATTCCTTAAAAAATTGCACCGAAATGTATTGCCGTTTCAAAAATGAGGACCAAGCCCGAGGGTTAAAAAATTGCCACCGCTTCAAAAAATGAGAACCAAGAACAGGGGTTAGAAAATTGCACCAAAATCTATACGGCTTCAGAAAATAAGAACCAAGCCCGAGGATTAGAAAATTTCACCAAAATATATAGGAATTTTTACCTCCTATAGCAAATGTTAACACCTTATTTATTTTAATAAATACCATTTAAAAAAATTATATTCTATAGATACCTTTTAATGTTTATAGCTAAATATCTAATTTTGGTTACCTCCTGCCCCTAAGCCACTAAATATGCTATTCAGTTACACTATTTTCTTTCTCTCTCTACTTTGATACATGTCATTCTCTTCCCCCATTACCTAAAAACACAATGCTCAATCTCAAAATTTCTCTCACCCACATCACCTACCATTAGTCACAAACAGTGATTTTGCTTGGATTCCATGTGAGATTCAGTGAAGAATTTCACAATTTATCTGCAGTGAAGAATTGATGATCAAGAAAGCTGTGAAAAATTCAAAAGAAAAAGAAATCAGAGTAGTAGAAGCTGGTGATGGGGAAAATAGAGCGATTAAAATTAATTGGGCTGCTGGTGCTAATTTTGCAATAGGAAAGTCAAGAGCAGGAAAAGCATACTACGACCCACTTGGTTTAAGCAATGAAGAATACTTCAAACTAGAAAAGCAAGAAGAGGAAGATAAAGAAGAGGCTAAAAGGGAAAAGAAGAAGGTGAAAAGGAACGTTATTGTTAGAGTTGCAGCCCTAGTGATTTAGGGTTTTTGCTCGACGACGGATTCGCCGAAAATTAGGGTTTGTTCTTGAACAAAGACGACGCAGTTTGGAGCTGAGCAACTTGATTTTCTGTTAATATATTTCAATGTATTTTTATGTATTTCATTGTATTCATTATCTTTTTTTTTTTTCATTGTAATTCAATGTATCTTGCTGTATTCCATGTATTTCATTGTATTTACTGTTTTTTATTGTATTTTAATGTATCCCACTGTATTTTATGTATTTCATTGTATTCACTGTCTCGCTATATGTCGTGAATGTATTCATATGTTTTTTGATTAATATAATTTATGTATTCAGATGTATTATATAATTTCTCTGAAGATTGCTATGTTTTTGGGGTATTTTTCTGTTGAAAATATTTTTTATAACTGAAAATACAAAATTTGTGTGTTATAATTGAGTTTGTTGAGTTATATTAGGAGTCTATTATGTTGGTTCACTTTCCGTTTAAAAACAGTGTAATCCCCTGTTTCACGCCATGAATACAGCCGAATATAATAATCTGTTCATACATCTAATACACTTAAATACACTTATAATTCATAATATAACAAATGATATCTATAAATAGTTAATTACTACTAAAAGATAGTGCTCAAATCTACACCGCTTCAAAGTATGAGAACTGGGGCCGGGGGATTAGAAATTTGCACCAAAATCTATACCGCTTCAGAAAATGAGCAGCAAGCCTGGGGAGTTGGAAAATTGCACCAAAATCTATACCGCTTCAAAAAAATAAGAACTGTATTCATTTGCTCGATATGATATCGCTTAGTTCACCTAGCGTTTTCAGTATTAATTTGATTTTCCATTTCTTTATATAGTGGTTGTTTCAACTACTATTTTCATGGTCTTTTCCAGCCATGGAATTAAAAGTTTAGGACTTAATTTCCCTGGGTTACATTCACTTAAGTTCATTGACGGAGGAATGCATATAAATTTATTCTTCAACTCCCCATCTCTTTTTGGTTATAACATTGAATTATCTATCAATGAATGATTTTGCTTTACCACCATATTTATATATAGTATATTAAACATACATATAATATATTATATACACATAGATATAGTATGCTAATAATATATAATATGTATACTATAACTATAGTATCCTAATGATATATATTCGAAGAATTAACTCAAATAGCCGTCCATCCAACCACTTAAACTAAAAATAACCGGTGCATGTATAATATATGCATAATTTATGTATTATATGTGTATAGTTGTGTATAATTAATACATAATCTATGTATATGACTAGAAAAGGTAAATAATAAATATGATCGGCTATTTGTGTAAAAATTCCTATATATTTGGTATATGAATATACGAATATAAAGAATAAATGTTATATATTAGTGCTAATATAATTATATATATTAGGTATACTACACATATGTAAGTAGATTATATGATATATTTGTATTGGGAAAAAACTGAGTTTATATTAAAGATGATGTGGCATGACACGTGGTTTAGTTAAATGGTCAAAGCGCAACAATTGACTAAGAGGCACGGATGGAGACAACCACGAGAAGAAGAATTTAAATAGGCACGAGACGAAGTATAGATACGAGTCTCGTACCAAGTTAAATTATTTACGGCCAACGGATTAGAAGACATTAAAGACAAAGATCTGATGACAGAAAGGAGTCCAAATTCATTATTAAATACTTGATACGTTAGAAAATTGGTATTTAATAGGAATGATTGTATAACGGCTTATTTAATGTCATTTATTACTCATAATTATATCATTAAAGCTGAGGCTTCATTCCTTTACCTAGAATTATCTATAAAAGGAAGAAGTATCATCATTTGTAAGGACACAGAATACTATTGAGAATTCATTGAAATACAAAACTATTTGCTGTTTTACCATTATTCTCAAAAGTATTTTATTTTTGTCTCTTGATTATCAGTAACCCGAATTTCTTTTTAGCTTTGACCAAAGACTCAGATTTTTGGTTAAACAAATTGGTTCCGTTACCGGGAATCTGATAATCTTTTCTTTTAAGCTATATCTTATCTATTGTCGTCACCATGTCAAACAACAACACCGACAACAACAGTAATAACACATTGGGAAACCATGAGAATCAAATATATCAAAATCAAGATGACGTGGTTCCCTCTCCTCTAAATTCACCACGTCAATCTCGTGAAGGCACTCCTATTACTGAATCCCGTGCTGATCAACAAGAGCAATCTGAGCATTTTGAAGGAGTTACAACTGAAGCTTTACAAAAGCTAATTGATGCACAGGTCGGCAAAGCTCTTCAGGCACTTGTTAGTCGATTGCCTGATGCACCACCCACACCAACTCCTAATAATAATACATTGGAGAATCCCCGTTCTGGTCTTGATAATTCTGGAAACGGAGCAACCCCCAGTGAACCACAGGAAGGGGGACCAGGTAATT